TCTGCCTGGCGAGCGCACGCGCCCTATAGCGAAAACCTCTCAAAAAAAAAAAAACAAAAAAAAAACCTATATGTAAACTATTTTTGGAGATAGGGGGAAAAGACTTCTGGGGATAAAAACACTTTAAGAGATGCCAGTGCAGATGTTTCCAGCTGCTGGCTCCGTTTTAGGGCTAATCATTGTCCTTGAGTTGGACAGTGTTTTCAGGACTATAGTTAATTTGTCTATTTCTAGCCTACTCTGCAAGTAGTCCTAAATTTTGCTATAGGGCACATGGGCTCGCCAGAGAGACAAAGTGAGCAATCACCCCCACGGGGTATGGCCATGCCACAATCCCTTCTCCATTCTCCTCTCAGGATTTTGGGCATGCATGCACATGCACCTGGCATGAGGTTTAAGCCACCCGTCTGGATCTCCAACTGCAGTTGGCTACTTGAGAGTCTAGCAACATAACCACTACACCATCTGCGGGTCCCAGTAGTCCTAAACTTTCAAACATGTGAGGAGTATATTGTTCAAAGTCCTTTCTCCTGTTCATACCAGGAGAGACCACACTCCAGGTTTGGAATGCAGTAATGATATGAAAAGTGCTAGCTTTAGCTTTCATTATCTCAGGCGGGCTGCAAGTGGCTTTCGGTGTAAACAAGTAGTGAAAGCTGGTAATTTACTCCTAGTGAGAACAGCCAATGATTTGTATTAAAGGCTTGACTATAGTGACTCCATCCTGTGCTCTCCGTTCCATGGACACCTAATCCTATCTACCTAGCCAGAGATCTTACTCCTATCTTACCTGCAGTTGGCAGTGTGGGATCCAACTGCCCAATACAAGGCCCTAACCACCACTTTGGTAGCTGGCCCCTAAATATTAAATAACTAAATAGTTTTTGAGATAGAAAAAGTTAATGAACATATATAATACTGAGTCCTATGAAATTGCTGATTTATAGGTAAAAACCCAGTATGCACACTTTCATATAAATAGTCTAATCTATGCTGTAGAATTCTCTGATGTATGTGAGCATGTTTTATTTCTGCAGGTCTAATTTGGACAGAGTCTGCTAGCATTTGCTGACTCAGAAACACGAACTAGGAAAATGTGTCTTGGTGGGGCAAGTCTGGAGCTGCTGTCCTGACCACAGACTTACTTCAGTTCGGCAGTTATCATAGGTAATAAAGGCTGTCCGTGGAGAAAAATAAGGTGCAGTATAGTTCAGTGTAGATGTGGAAGATTTACAAGCCAATAACTCAGTAAACTAGGTAAGATGTATACATGAAAACAAAGGGAAGGATCCTTGGCATGGAAGGAAACTTGAGGATTTCTGAAGGCATTCTTAACCTCAGAATCAGTAAAAATTAGGGAAGTTTTCAAGTTGAGAAAATAAATCATGTTTCCAGAATGAAATTACCATGTAGATTTCAAGTTCTCTGAGGTCTGT